GAGAGAGAAGGGGAGAAGACAAGTCACGCTAAAAGCCGAAAACTTTTAGCGATCACCTACTCGATCGATGCACCGAAGGTGCACCGAGTGTGCACAGATGATACGTGAAGATCGAAAAGAGAGAAAGAGAAGGGTGGGGGAAGAGGAAGAGAACGCTCTCGCCGGTGTTTCGCCACTCGAAGCATTTTCATCTGCGTGAAATTCCCGGCATAGCTCGCGATACGAGGCAGATTCCACGAGATCCGCATGGCGCGTTATTCTTCTCGTACTTGAAGAAAGCGAGACGGCGGCGAGGAGAGTTCTCTCTTAGAGGGAAAGGGACGAGAAGGAGAGCAGAGACAGAGAGGACGGTCTCGGCTGGCGCGATTTCCTCTCCTCGAGTGGAGGAGTGCGAGAACGACGTGGCGGGGGGGGGGGGGGGGATAGGGGGAGGGTGGTAGTCGATGACGGATCGTCGCTGATTATACACGCGGATAACGAAATTCGCCGATAAATCCCTACTGCGCATTTGCGCCCCGTTCGTCGCACGACTCGACGCGACGCGACGCGACGCGACGCGACGCTACCGTTCGGATTCGCGTAATTAGCGGCGAATTAATATTCGCGTGCGAGCGTGCGCGGGCGCGGGCACGGCTGAGCGTTTCGAAAGCGCGCTTAACGCCCATAAACATACACGCCCTTTCGCGGAGCTCGTTGTCGGCCGGCAAGGGGTGGCAGGGGGAGGGGCGAGAGCGCGATACTCCGCAAATCGTATCGATCCGCGTGTCGTATTTACCGAATGAGTTTTACGAATTATATCGCGGGCGCGTTTGATTTACGCGGCGCTTCAACGCACTTCCGTTTTTACGCGTCCTCAATGCTCCCCAGAGCGCGTACGTTCGCCCGCCTCTGCCCCCTGGACCTTCCCGTCACTCCCCCCAACCCCTCCGCATGCACGGGGGTTAAATAATTACGTACCTAATGCGACGTGTAAATAAAGGGGCTGTTTTGACGGTGACGTTGCGCGGCGGGAGACGGAATCGGCGCGGATGAAATTTTTCATTTTTCCGACCGCGCGCGAGATCGATTTTTTTCTACCGAAAAGGTCCGCAGACGCGACGCGTCGTTTACAATGTGTCGGTGTCGCGCGGCCGATTTATATTTGCTGCCGGCGGCGCGCTACTTGTTTCGGCGGCCAATGGACTTCCGTCTCGGCTGGCTAACCGATTCGGGGAGGACCGGAGGTCCGCGAGAGGTCACGGAAAGAACGGGGAGAAGCCGCGTCGTGCATGCGCGCGCGCGAGCGTGTGTGTGTGTGTGTGTGTGTGTATGTACACGTGTCGTATGTAAATCGATAACACGACGCGAGTCCAGAGTCGAATATTCTCGGCTGGCAGCTCGCTCGTTGTGAAAACAGCACGTCGACGCGGCCGGGAAATTTTCACGCGAGCAAGAAGCGGCCGCCGGGCGAGCCGACGCGCGCGAAGCATCTCACGAGCGCGAGAGAGCCGCCGCCGCCGCGGCTCGATCGCGTGGTCGTGTTTTCAACTGCGCTCTCAATTGCTCAATATTGCAGAGCGGAGCGCGCGCACGCGCTGAGCGGCGCTGATATGCGCTCGCGAGGGCCGCGGAGCGTTGAGCTGACGACGAAGGCTGCCGTGTTTCCGTGCGACTCGGCCGAGAGAGCTTCTCTCGCGAGTGATTAATTACGGCCGCGCGCTCCGGTCTCATTATCTATTGTATCGTATGCCGAATCTCACGGCGATCCCGTCAAGCCCGGCGTCCAATGCAGTCAATGATGATGTTCACGTAATATCGTATCCCGCAACGACGGGTTTTGCACCACCGACGAGAGAGAGAGAGAGAGAGAGAGAGAGAGAGAGAGAGAGAGAGAGAAGGGGAGGGGAGGGAAGAGCGATGCATGACGTTTGAAGCCACGAAGCTCGCGCGCCTCGGACGGGCGAGAATGGAAAAGCCGTAGCGGCATGGCCGCTGGCAAAAATGGAAATCGACGGCAGGATCGAGCACGGGAAAGCAGAAGCTCTCTCCCGCGGGCAAGGATGAGCCGCGAGAGAATGGCGGTGCCGGGCGGTTAAAGGAGGAGGCGTCGTCGTGCGCCACGGCGCATTGAGATGCAAATACCCAGGCAGCGCGGGCTAACGTGATTTACGAGGGGCGAGCGTGCTCGCTCTATCTCTCTCTATCTCTCTCTCTCTCTCTCTCTCTCTCTCTCTCTCTCTCTCTCTCTCTCTCTCTCTCTCTCTCTTCGTACGCGCGCGCGCAACCCTCGTAGGAGAGCGTTCCCGAGTCCAAATCCGTTCGCTGGGAGACGAGCAGATAAGATCTGTCCTCCGCCTCCGCCGCCGTCACAATGGTCCACGGATTTTATAGCGACGAGGTGGTCGGTCGGTCGGTCGGTCGGTCGGTACGATTTTCCGCCGGTCAGCAAGTCCCCCGGATTGGCGTGAAAGAGACGCGCGCATGGCTGACCCTGCGAGTTTCTAACGACTCCGCCGCCGCCGCCGCCGCCGCCGCTGCCGCCGACGATCCGGCCGAATTGCGGCTTGCTCTCGGGGTCTCTCGCGTGTCCCGAGATAATGAAGGCGCGGGCGTAGCCTGTCGGTTCATGTTATGAGGATACCCGCCGATCGCTACCGTTAGCGATCTTTCAAACGACCAGCTGAAATATCTCGGAGGGTTTTCCGAATAACGGAGGATTTCCCTTCGAGAAATCGCTGAAAACGTGTCGGCCTTGGGGAGCTTTGAAGTACCATTGAACGCGTCAGAGTGATCCTCCTCTTACTTGGCCGTACGGTGTCTTTCGCACGGATCGACGGCATCGTTGCGAAACAACCGTCGCGGCGACGGCGGCGACGTCGCGTGCGTATTGTCACGAGCGCAGCCTCGCGACTACCACTCGGAGCGTATTGACGCGGATTGCAGGCGCAGGTTAAATCGAGCAGACGGCGGTGGCGTCGCGACGCCGGCTGTGCGCGGCCGCGGCAACCCCTCGCTGCGCGCCCCGCGCCACCCCGTGCCGCCCCGCCGCCGCCCGGAAGCGTCGGGGGAGGGCGAGAACGGGAGAGAGGGAGGGTGGTCTGGCGAGAGGGAAAATTTATAAAGAGGGGTCGAGGCGGGAGGAACGAGAGAGACTACTTGTTGCGCGTCGCGGCGCCCCCGTGACGCCGGCGCTCCCGCCCGCCCCCCGCAAGCCCGTGTCGCGTCTCATCGACGACCAACGCCGACGCCGACGCCGACGCCGCCACCGCCGCCACCGCCGCCGACGCCGCCGCTAACGACGCCCCGCGATGCCGCCGACAAAAATAGACGCGCGCGTCGTCACGGCGCAACAGATATCACTCGGCTCGGTCCCTCGAGTAGCTCGGCTACTTCGCTCTCTCGCGGTCTGATCGCCGCGATACGCGTCGATTGGCAGTCCGACCGACCCAAAGAGAGAGAGAGAGGGGGGAGGAGGGAGGTAGAGGAGATTAGCGCAAGCTATGTCGAAACTTGGAAGCTCGATGCAAATTCCATTCCCAGCGAGGAGAGTATTCCTTCGAAAGAGCGAGAGAAAGAGAGAGAGAGAGAGAGAGAGAGAGAGAGAGAGAGAGAGAGAGAGAGAGAGAGAGAGAGAGAGAGAGAGAGAGAGAGAGAGAGAGAGAGAGAGAGAGAGAGAGAGCTTCACGCTAACTCGAGGATAACTCTATCTGTTTAACTCAGAGAAAAATTAAACGCATGCTGTCGAAAGAAAAGAATCGAGCAAAAAGAACCGATCGCGAGGTTGCGTCAATTTCGTTGCGTAAATTGCAATAAATTGCGAGTTGAGCGGGGCAAAAATCAAGGCAAATGTGCCCACGGTGGAATGGCGAAATTCAGTCAACGATGGGACGACGAGTATGAAACGCGTAGGTGTATCAACCGCGGTAAAAGGTCGAGCCGTCGGTATAAATAATTTTGCCGCTGGTGAAAGATTGAATAAATCTCACGCTAAAATACGGTACAAACTATATACGGGTCGACTTTATCATCCCACGAGATTCAAATTTTCAGCAACGGGGGAGCAGAAGAGGGCAATGGCTGCAGCTTTAATTTTTAATATACCGTACACACATGTGTGTTTTGTTAATCTCCTCATCTTCACTATAACACCAAACTGAAACTGAACACGGCTAAATATATGGCCGAAGCATTCCGCGCGAATACAACGACGAATCAATCGCAAAGGTCTAGGCAGAGCGACAAGTATGTACCGGGTGTTTTGGAACGCCGAGTATCACAGCGCGTTGTCGACGGGTGAATCGGCGTTTCTCACATCTTGTACATGCCGAGCCGTTATTGTATGAATAATAATCATTATATATTTGTTTGATTTTGTGTTGGGGCCATAACGGCTTTATGGACCTCCAATTCAGTTTTATGACGAAACGGAACGCTACACCACGTCAATAATATGTTAACCCTCTGCGGACGAATGCCGCCGTTACGGCGGATCACGACCTTTTTTTCTCAAGTCGAATGGCGTTGCTACAGCGGCAAACAAATGACAAAAGTCAATGTGAAGTTTAATCAACCTTTTGCTTGTCATCGGTGTATTATATGCTAATATATATATATATATATATATATATATATATACCATGTTCAATTATTATCAATAAAATTTTCACAAAGCAATACAACATATCTCTTTTGATCCCTTTATTGTAATATTTAAGTCTATAATGTCTTGTTTTGTATAGAAAATGTATTTGAACCACCGGGAATCAGAGTCGAGGCAGTCGAAGGACTCGTCCGCAAAGGATTAACATATTCGGTGCCGAGCGTTTTCGCGCGACTTTCGATTCGGACCATTTGATATTTTGACTAAGGACATATGTTATTGTAAAATATTTCATTGATCGATAAGTAACTAACCTGTGTAGAGTTGTTATCATATCGTGGAACGAGTTAATATTCAAGCGGCAAGTGGCCGTCAGCGAACACGAAGAAAAGACACGTGCATATTCCAACACTGCACTTACCTGTATCTGATGCGCAGGATTGTTGATGTGCAACTGCTGCGCCTGGTTGATTTGCAGAGTGGAAGTGCCGGGTCCCGAGGGCGGTCGCGGCGGCGTGGAGTTGTTGAAGGGTCCCTGCGAGCTCGTCTGGTTGGGCCCGCCAGTCTGCGATCCCCTAGGCGGCAACGGATATTGCGGGCTACCGTGGTTCGGCATCGGCCCCGGACTGTTGTTGTACGGCGAATATGGCTGCTTGTAGCCGCCGCTGGGTCCGAGCATGCCGGGCTTACCTCCGCTGGCCGGCTGAGGCCTCTTCATGTCAGCTAGACCTGTGGTGAACTGGCTCTGCGAGCCTACGAACATGTCGCTCGTCTGCTGACTCTGGAAGTTCGGCGTCGCGTTGTTCTTGTGATAGGTGGCGGCTCCAGTGGCCGGCTGAGCTTGGCCGGCGGCTGGAACCGCGCTCCCAGGACTACCGAGATAGTCCGACGTACCGCCAAACTGCGAGAATTCAGCGTAAGGAGATCTCGCGGTCGAGCCGCGGGCTGCAGCCGCCGCGGCCGCCGCCGCCGTGTGGTTGTAGCCGCCGAGGCCCAGTTGCTGACTCTTGTGCTGATGTTGCTCGGCCATTTGCTTGAGGGTCTGGGCGGCAGGGCTCATCTCGGACTTGAAGTCCAGGCCGCTGTAAGAGAGCCTCGCCGGCGAGTATTGCGACGAGGCTAGACCCCCCGGGCTCGCGTTGGCCGGCATGGCGTTGCCGTTGTTGCTGTTATTGGCGTTATTGCTGACGCCGTTGTTCGCGCCGTTGTTGTGCTGGGCTTGTTGTTGCTGATGAATCGCGTCCTTGTCGTCCTCCATCTTGATCTGCCCGTTGTTCATCAGAGGGTTGTTGCCGTTATTGCTGTTGGCGCTGTTGACGGCTGCGACTGTGGCCACGGATACGGTATTGCCCGGCAAAGTGTCGACTGTCTTATCCTCAAAGTCGAAGTCCTTCATGAATTCCGGATGGAAATCCGAAATCTCGGAGATGAGATCCTTGAACGTGTCCGAGTTAATTATCTCATCCCCGGTATCATCCCCAATGAACTCGGGGAAACCAGTGAAACTGGAGGTCGCGCCGTTGGCTGCGGCGTCCTTCTCCAGCGCAGCTGCACACTGCTCCAGGTCGACGAAGTCGTTTTCTAACCCCGGTTCCTGTTTACACTCGACGAGGTTTCCGATGTCGACACAACCGATTCCGCCGCCACCGCCGCCGCCGCCGCCGCCGCCGCCGCCGCCGCCGCCGCCGCCGCCGCCAGTAGGTCCGCCGGCGGTACCACCAGCACCTGGTCCTGCTGCGCCGGCACCACCGCCGCCAACCTGCGTCCGACTGCTAGCCGAAGACGGCGTGTCAGGGCCGGCTTTCGGCGAGGAGGACGCGTTCAGCAAGTCACTCTTCACGGACGCGTTCGTTAGCGCTTTCACAGTCACGTTCGTGGATATCTGCTGGGCCTGCGAGTTCGCTGTCGAGGCGGTAAACTCCAGTTGCTGGACTATCTCTACGGAGAACTTGGTGAGACCTTCATTCGCGCCACTGCTGCCTCCGCCACCGCCACCGCCGGCTGTAGGCCCTGTCGAGTTCGCACCGGCGCCACCAGGCTGATGTTGACCGTGACCGTGATGTGGTCCGCCGCTACCTCCGGAACCTGGACCTTGCTGATGTTGGTGCTGAGCTTGTGTGCACTGAAGTTTCACCGGTGGTTCACCGAAGCCGCCGTCGCCTCCGCCGCCGCTTGCTGGCTCCAAATCCTCGGCCGTCCGCTTCAGAAATTTCTGCTGCTGAAACGAGAAGAAGCGGAAGGCGCTGAGTCGTCGGCCAATCTCGCTGACTGTGATGGGTCGCAAAAGAGCGTGTCAATGCCTGCCAGCGATAGGAAAACATTCGGGAGATATTCCTTCCGCACATTCCGTCCGATTGAGTTTTACGACTTGACCCCGCGCGCGCAGCCGACTCTTCGTTTCGTTGATGCACTTTGCGCCTTTCCTCCGTGTACTTCGTGTACAACTCGCCGGTTTCTCCGCCATTACGCGAGCGCAATTAGTAATATCGATCATCCCCCCGGCCGACCCGCCGGGCCGGCGAGGAAACCGCGACGAGAGATCGACGCTCCTAAAGGCCGGCGCTTTTTCTGCGCTGCGGCAAGCTCGTCGTCGACGAGCGAGCGGGCTATTTAATTCCGCCAGCCGGCGTCGCCGAGCTCGGTTCCAGCTCGGCTTTTTCCGCGATTAACCCGGGCAGTTTCTCACCGTACCTGTCAATACTCGCGACGCTTTTTCAGCCGCTGTCTTTGTACGAGCCGCCGACGGCCGTCCGCGAAGGGCTGTTTTGTTTAGCGGCGAGCCGGCGGCCCCGACGCGCCTCGTAAATCTTGGCGAACGACTCGCCACCCCTTCCCCCTCCCCACCTTTATCTCTCTGTCTCGAATCAAAGGACCGCTGGCACGTGACTGTATGCGCGACCACCCGCGCCCAAGCGGGCACCCAAATGCCTCATCCTCATCGATCGCGCGCGACCAAGCGCGCCGTCTTTCATTTATTATTACGTTATCTCGATAACACTCGTGATGCGCGGTTATCAGCGCGACCGATGAATCTGATAAACCCCCGACAAGTTTCGATACTCGACGACGTGCGGCTCGTCCGCTCGGTCGATCGATCAATCCCCTATAATTGAGGCAGCACTCCTGAATAACCGAAACGCGAAAGGAAAACTCGAGGTGATTAGCGTTGTTTCTCAAGGACGAAGCCGCTTAAGAGAATCGCTACGGGCGGCGCTGCCTCGTCGATGGGGTTCCTGTCTTCCAGAGAGGGAGAAAGAGAGAGAGAGAGAGAGAGAGAGAGATTTCCGAGTCGGCGACCCTGTTTTCGGCCGGGCAAACAAATTCACAGCGGTGAGAGGCGGAGGGGTGCGGGCTAGCGGCGCGGGGGGGGGGAGGGGGTGAGAGATTGGAAAAAGTTTTTCCGGGGTGCGGTCGCGAGAGCGCTTCAGCGAGATGCACACACGGCCACCGGCGCGCCGGTGTGCGCGCGTGCGTCGGTTTATATCTATACATTTGTCATGATTTGAACCGGGATAACCTCCCGTTTCATCCGAAAATCGATAATACGTATTACCCTCTAATAGAGAATCGGCCGCTCTACGTTTCCCTCCGCTTTTCCCAACCATCCCCCATCCCCCCGCCTCTGCCTTCCTTTCCTTCCTTCCTTCCCTCCCTCCCTCCCTCCCCCCTCCCTCCCTCCCTCCTACCCGAGACCTCGTTCCCTCGTCCGAGCTCGAATAATCTCGCGTCTTCCGCAGATGTAATACGATATTCCGTCAAGCTTCTCTCCTTCAGACGCGGCATTCTGCCGCCAATCGCAGAACCAGCGGCGCGCGCCCGCCGTCGTCGTAAAGGTGGATGACGTTTCTTCGCTGCCGTCCTCCCCTTTTACGTTTCGGGGAATGAAGCACATTATGGTAGGCATAAAGGGAAATGAACTCCCCTGCCGCAGCCCCGCTCTCTCTCTCTCTCTCTCTCTCTCTCTCTCTCTCTCTCTCTCTCTCTCTCTCTCTCTCTCTCTCTCTCTCTGTCTCTCTCTCTCTCTCTGTCTCTCTCTTTCAATGATGATGAAATTGTAAGACGGTTCGTATCAAGGAAAACCACGGCTCTCTCACCGAGAGAACCGTATCGATCGCACGTTGGCGATGATTTATGCGCTAACCACTGGTTAAAATATTCCGCGGATACTGACGATTAATCAATTAGTGATAGAATACAATTTTCTTGATCGCTTTAGCAGTATGGTGTAAGACAATCGGTTGTTACGACGGAACGCTCGGGTGATTTACGACTGTCAGTCGTTAGTTGCTCAGATAATGATAAAGCGGAAGCGCATAAAGAGAGCGGAACAGATTATAAAATTTAAATATCTTATGCGCACGTCAAAACAAGAGAAATTCTTTGTATTCGCTGCAACGTGTAATTCGTTTCTTTCCGACATTCTCTCCTTCGAGCAGCGGAATCGCGCTTTCAGTCGCACATTTCTCGTTAGCTTCACCTCAAATTATGTCCGACGTCAAAGTCAAGTCCGAGAAGAAGATGCTCGACCTTCCGTTTCCTCCGCGGAAAAATTAACAATCACCCTCATCGGGAACGCGGCGATCTCAGCTTTCGCGTGCAATTTGTTTCACGTCTCTACGACTTTTCTACGCGGAGATAGCGACGAGCGAACTAGAAGCGTTCAACGGGGACCGAGGCCCGGCGAAGACGACATCGCGCGCGCCGCTCGCACATTCGACCGAACGCATCGGCGGAGAAGGGAGAACGAGCGCACTACAATGCAGTGGGAGCGCGACGCCGCGCGGCGCGGCGCAAGCGGTCGGTCACTTTCAAAGCGGCGGCAGCCGCCTTGAAAATCCTCCGGCTCTTTAAACATCTGTATCTCGGGGAAAAATTCACGTAAGAGCATGAAACGTCATTCTTCACGGCCATGCATGCCGCATGGCCGTTCACACTCGTCGCATATGCTGTCGTCGTGACACGCGTCCGCCTGCACAATTGCGACACATGGTGCGCCGGAGAGACGCTAAAATCATCAGGATAATATATTGCACGAACACGGAGAGGGTAGGATAAATGTTTATCGCGTCAAGAACAAGGGGCTATGCGTTTACACATCTCGATCGGAAAATTTCGCACGGAGATTCCCGCGCAATCTGTCAATTTCACGCCAAATGCCACGCGCGATTTCGACGACGCCTCAATCGGTATTATACGACGAACGTCAAAAACATTGGCAAACGGAAACGAACGAGCAAACCGAATTTTTTCTTTTATAATTGAATATTCCTGTTTTGATATATTCCTCATCCAAGTGCTGAACTTAGTGGGATACGGAATACATTTTGAATAAATCCGAAGCTTATGACAAACTTGTGACAGACCGATAGATGAATAAATTTACGGAATACTTGAAAAACAATGTTCCCGTTGCGTGCGTTATTTAACGCGTTGCATTTAACGCGACTGACTCGCGGATTCTCCCCTCAAAATCGATATTCACGACACGTAAAAAAGAATGTAGATATGCTCACTGGAGTCCTCTCTCAGCTTATTACTTGGACACCGCCGTTAAAATCGCTCTAAATACGCGCGTGCGGCCGATCGCGCAGTATTACCCATCGGTAACACAGATTTGCGCGCAGGCAAGTAGCAACGGACGCTAGACGGTGGATGAGAAAAGGTTTCGGTCGGGCAAAGCTCTCTCTTTCTTCCTTGCGCGCACGCGAGAAGCAATTTCACGGGACGCAAGGTGCGCCGGGGGTTGGCAGATAACGGCGTGGCCGAGAGCCCTCGGCTCGCGTCGATATTGCACTTCGCTCGCCTCCCCCCTCCCCGCGCCTCTTATGCAGCGCTCCGCTCCGCGGCTTTGGTGTCGGGCGCAAAAAAAAAAAAAAAAAAAGATACTCTAAACCACGTTACGTCCAACTAATTACTTCCTGCGCGCGCTGCGTCGCGTCGCGTCGCGTGCGCTCAGGAAGTCTCGCGAGGCAAGGACGTGCGGGACCGAGGCAAGGACCTTTCTCCCGATTCGACGCGGGTCAAAGCCGACATTTGCCGGCGGATTAAAGCGCGGATCCGTATCAAAACGCGCATTAACGGCCCGTTCAACGATACGCTGGAAAGGCAAAGTTGCAAAAAGCAGCAGCGAGGCTTTCACCAGCTGTGCGTCTCTCGCGCGTTCTCGCCCGATCATTTGCCGCGGTTCGAAAGAAGCGGCCCGTTGATCGCGCACGCTGCTGCCTGTTTGCCGATGCGTCCAGCGCGCATCGCTTTAATCGCCGGGCGAACAATGGCACTTGATCGCGTTGCTCGCCGGCGAGAAGAGGAAAGTTTCCCGTGCGTGTTCCGCATCGCGCGCGCTAATCGCGGAGACATCGATCGCCAATGAGATTTCATTCGTTAGGTAACACGTGTTTCGTAATAAATTGCGAAAAAAGTCGACGTCGTCTCCTTCCCGGCCCGCCGTCGTCCGCGAACGACGCTCGGCCGACTGAGAGCGCTCAGCGGCCAGAAATTAATACGCAATCAGGAGAATTAACGGAGGGAGGAAGCGACCGGATCCCATCGAGGGAGAAACCAACAGCCCCGGGTTGCGCATCGCGAGCGTACACACGTCGTTACGCAGTTCGCCGCAGCGCGTGCTTCGCGCGGGGGAGAGACCAATCTCGCCGCCTCCCTATCCTCCGCCGCTTCTCCCGCGCGAAATCGCTTAACGACCCTCGCGACTGCCTCGCGATTCTCGACGTTATCGCTACTTCGCCCGGAAATGATCCATTCGCGCTCTCGCTTCCTCTGCTTCTCTCTCCCGCGACGCGACGCGAGAGAGAACAGGCAAGCGTTTCAACCCTTTCCGTGTACCCTCGCTGAGCGGTCCGTTATTAACGACGCGTGTGTAGCCGCGCTCTCTCTCTCTCTCTCTCTCTCTCTCTCTCTCTCTCTCTCTCTCTCTCTCTCTCTCTCGCTCGCTCTCGATGAGCCACGAAGGAGAGCAATGCCAGCCGATTAGCCGACGTATGAAGCAACGCGATGCTCCGAATTCGCCGAGGACATGTGGAAAGGCGAAGGAGAAAACACCATCGCGTCCGCGTCTGGACAGAGTTCCTTCGCGCCGTGCTCTCCTTACGTAATAGCGTGGGAATGCGGCCGCGAGCGAGTCCGCGGAAAGGGCAGTTCGGCTAGTACCTTATTAACTCTCCTGCATTCATACGCCGTTCTTCCCCCGTCAATTTCTAATGA